CATTTTGTATAATATTTCATGAATGCTTTGTTTTTCAGTGCTGCATAGTATTCCATCGTGTGACTATACCACAGCTTCTCTACCCACTTGTTTGTTGATGGGCACTTGGGTTGTTTCCAACTTTTTGCTATTGTGAACAAAGCCACGATAAACATGGGTGTGCATATATCTGCTTGGGTGGCAGTTATGGTATCTTTAGGGTAAATTCCCAGTGGTGGAATTGCTGGATCAAATGGTATTTCTATTTGCAACTTTTTGAGAAAGTGACATACAGCCTTCCATAGTGGCTGCACCATTTTACACTCCCACCAACAATGAATAAGGGTTCCAGTTTCTCCACACAACCTCGCCAGCATTTGATGTTTGCTGTTCTGTTGAATTTTGCTATTCTTACTTGGGTGAGATGATATCACCACACTTCCAAGGCTGTGAATCCTTCTAGGAAAACACTCTCCACCTTTCCCCCATGGAGTGGCTGCTGGATTAGAGCCAACACACTATGTATTACACCCCTAGGACGCCTTTTTACACCTGGAAGTAGCAACTGACTTCTAAGTTCTTATCTTCCTGGGCACACTGAGCTGTAAAGTGTCTAGCTTGATGGCTAAAACTTGGGCACTTCTATTTCTTCTCATTTTCATTTTTGGCCATTTGTGTTGGGCTTTTTGTTTTCTTCTTGCTGAGCTGTGAAAGTTTACTAGTCTCAATTATTAATAAAACCAAGATATTGTGAATCGTTTCTTCCAGTGCAAGTCTACCTTGTAATTTACCTCTAGGGAGCTCAGGTGGCTTAGTGGTAAGGATCTGTGCTGCCAGCCTGCAGACACGCGGTTCAAATCCACCAGCTGCTCTGCTGGAGAAAGGGGAACAGTCTCCTCCTCTGTGATTTCCTGCCTGTGAAAACCAGGTGGAGGGTCAGCTCTGGGTCAGTTCCAGCTCATCAGTACGTGAAACAATGTAGTGAAACCAGGGTGCTCCTTGGAAGCAAGGAGGGGAAACTCCAGCTTGCCCACTTCAGGCATGTTGTTAGAAGAGGCCAGTCACGCTTTCTCAAAAAGTTGCAAATAAAGATACCATTTGACCCAGCAATTCCACTACTGGGAATATACCCTAAAGAGCCCATAAATGACATCCAAGTAGA